TGCAGAAAACATGAGGGTTCAGATATTTCAAGGGAGTGATTTCATTTCCTTTTATTTATATGTCCAGAGCTGGGGCTGCTGGATCATATGGTAGTTATATTTTAATTTTCTGAGGAACCTCCATACTGTTTTCCATTGTGGATGAACTAATTTACATTCCCAACAATAATGTATACCAGTTTTTATGCCAATACTATACTGGTTTTTCACCTTTGTAATACAGTTTGAAATCAGGAAGTGAAATCAGCCTTGTTCTTTCTCAAGATTACTTTGGCTATTTGTAGTCTTTTATGGTTCTATATGGATTTTAGTAGTATTTTTTTCTAATTTGGGAAAAATGCCATTGGAACTTGGAGAGGGATTACACTGAATCCATAATAACTTTGTTTAATGTGGAAATATAACAGTATTAGTTCTTCTAATCCATGAACAATCACACTTATTGATGTGCATATGTTGAACCATTCCTGCATCCCAGGGATAATTTCACTGGTGATTTCCACTGAATTGATCCACTGGTTGATCAGGAGTGTGTTCTTCCATCTGTGTTCTTCTCATTTATTTCATAAATAATTTATAGTTTTCAGTGTCCAGATCTTCTACTTACTGGGTTAAATTTATTCTTATTTTATTCCTTCCTAATTTAGATGTGTTTTATTTCTTTTTCTTGCCTGGTTTCTCTGGTTAGAACTTCCAGTACTATGTTGAATAGGAATGGTGAAAGTAGGCTCCCTTATCTTGTTTCCCGGCCTTGGAGGAAAACTTGCAGTTTTTCACCTTTGGGTGTGATTTTAGCTATGGGCTTTCCATACAAACCATTGAAAGTTCAGATACATTTCTTTTATATCCAGTTTGTTGAGACTTTATCATGAAAGGATGTTGAATTTTTTCAAATGCTTTTTCTGCATCTTTTGAGAGAAAGATATAGTTTTTAATCTTGCATTCTATTAATATGCTGTATCACACTTATTGATGTGCATATGTTGAACCATTCCTGTATCCCAGGGATAATTCCATTGTGTATGATCCTTTTAATGTGCTGTTGAAATTTGATTTACTAGTATTTTGTTGAGAAGTTTTACATCTCTATCCATCAGCTATATTGGCCCATAATTTTATTGTCTTGTGTCCTTTCCTGGCTTTCTCAGGTTGATGATATGTTTGGGAGTGTTCTCTTCTTCTCAGTTTGGAAAGGATTGGGGTTAATTTTTCTTTAAACTTTTGGTGGAAATCACCAGTGAAATTATCTGGTATTGGAATTTTATTTGTTGGTGGTTTCTTTTTTAATTCAGTTTCCTTACTTATTATTGGTCTGTCCAGATTTTCTATTTCTTTATGATTCAGTCTTGGTAGGTTGTATGTTTTTAAGAATTTGTCTATTTCTTCTAGGCCGTACAATTTGTTGGCATATAGTTATTCTTAGTAGCCTCTTTGGTAATTTCTATTTCTGTGGTATCCATTGCAGTGTTCCCCTTTTTCATTTACAATTTTGAGTCCGTTTTTGTTTTTTCTTGGTTGTCAATTTATCTTTTTGAAAAACCACCTCTTAGTTTTGCTGATCTACTATTTTTCTATTCTCTATTTCACTAACTTCAGCTCTAATCTTTATTATTACTTCTGTTAACTTTGGCTTAGTTTATAATTCTTTTTGTAGTTCTTTGAAGTTGATTATTCAAGATCTTTCTTTTTTCTTAACACAGGCATTTACAGCTATAAACTCCTATTAGAATTGCTTTTACTGTATCCCATAGGTTTATGTTGTGTTTCCATTTTCATTTGTCTCAAGATAGTTTTTGATTTCTTTTTTATTTCTTCTTTGATCCACTGGTTGATCAGGAGTGTGTTCTTTAATGTTCAATTGTGAATTGTGTATTGTTGTGAATTTCCTCCTCCTTTCTAATTTCATGTCATTGTGGTCAGAAAAGACACTTGATATATGTTCAGTCTTGAATTTCTGGTGGTGATATGATCTATCCTTGATAATATTCCATGTGGATTTGAGAAGAGTGCGTGTTCCTACTGCTTGTTGGATGGAATGGTCTGTATATGTCTGTTACTGTATTTGGTCTATAGACTGTTCAAATGCTGATTCCTCATTGATTTTCTACCTGAATGACAGGTATTAAAGTTCCTCTAGCACATCCTTTTTTTCCCAATGGGAAATTTTAATCTCCTCTTTTAGGATGTGTTTGAACATATCATAAACTTTATGCCTCCATGATGTGTATACTGTAGCTTCTACCTGCAGATCTTTTCCCTGCCCTTTGTCTGGTGTTGAGTTCTTTTAATATTCAACTTTAAAAATTACATTTCTCTGTTATCTTGACTCTGCCAGATAAAATTTGTATAAGCATAGGACTTGATAATAACTTCCATTTTACTATTCAGAAATCCTTTGAATATCATAGCAGTTATGTGCTTGTGTGTCTGTCACCTCCACTACACCAGTTCCTTCTCCCAGAGACCATGCCTTCTGTTTACCCAGACCTCCAAGCTTGAGAAATTCAACTAAATATGTATTGAAACAAATAAAGTGAGGTGTCCTAGAAGAGGCAGCAGTATATAAAAATAAACGGCAAAGGTTGAGAAGGACATTAGTTGCAGTATGTTCATGCTTAACACAAGTATATCATAGAAAATCAGATTATGGAATAAAGAAAAACTGCTATAGGCATCAGATTTGATCTGGACCCTGGTATTCAAAAAGAGGAACATGGTACATTACTCAACTGTAGTTATTTGAAAGGACAAAAACTTCCTCCTTTCTTAAGGTTAGTATTTCCTCAAAATACCTAATCATTAATAACTTGGGATACTTGCTGAAATGCAGATCCCTAACCTCTCCTGTATCATTCTGATTTGGCAGTTATATAATGGGGATCAGTAATCTATATTTGTACAAGTACTACCAGGTGATTCTCATTATTAGCTAAGTTTGGAAAACCTTAACTAAATGCAGTTTCACAGTGCCCCTAGTGTCTCAGTAATTTTTTCATGGTGCCTCAGCCAAAAGAAATACCCCAAGGTTCCATTTAAGTAGATAGAGCCAAGCAACTTAATAGTTGTAGTTGTTGACAGGATCCAAGAGATGGCACTGTGTTTCCCTCAAAAAGTTAAAATATCCCACAGAATCCTTAGTAGTTCCCTGAGGCACAGCGGAGCATCTCGGCACACAGTTTCTGAACTGGAGCCTAAAGGGAACGTTTTCCTGAAATAGCATTTAAATAAGATATCTAAATGGGCCATTTACAGGACTGCACAAGAAAGTAGACAGTGTATTCCATGAATTTCACCTTTTTATACCATTTGTTGCAGTTTTGATATAGTTCTTATTGCTTATAGAGCAGGAGTATCATTTTCCTATAAAGAGCCAAAGAACAGATATTTTAGGTTTTGGACCACAGATGACCTCTGCTGTATATTCTGATCTTTCATGTTGCAGCCCTTTAAACAATGTAAAAACCATACTTACCTCCTGAATTTGCACTGTAGTTTGCCAACTCTTATTCTAGTTATATAACTCTAGGATATAACATTAAAGTGCAGTTTCAGTGATGGTGATTCTACAAGAGTGGAAACTCTGTTACTTTCCTATCTCATCTTTTTTGCTCCAAGGAACACTGTGCCAAAATGCACCCTTGCAACCAGTATGGGAAGGGCTTACTTATTGCAGAGCTATTGTAAACAAAAGCCTGTCATAGAATCACGCTTTTAAGTCTTCCTTTAAGGAGAACTTGCAAGTTTTTCCAGCTTAAAGTTTCCCTTTAAATTTCCAAGTAGACTAGTCATTGCCCTAAGCTTTATCACTAACTGGCTGATTATTATAATTGGCTAATGAGATTCCACAATTTTAGTAAGGTAAGCTTTAGCTTATCCTATATTCAGTAATTTGACAGAATATGCCATTTGAGACTTGTAGCTTTATTTCCAAAATTACTATTGTCTTGAACAATATGCATTGTGCTTAGTCCTTAGGTTTCTGTGTCAGAAAATATCTTGTATGACAAGTACTTTCCCTATGCTAGTCATAAAGGAGATAAGTATCACTAGCAGTAATGGTGCTGGAAAAAATCAATTTCTTGAGAAAATTTCAATCCATGTTTTAAAAGTGCACGTTTTCGAGCACCATATAGATTTTTCTGAGTTCCAACCTCTTATAGCCTCCTCCACCAAAACGACATTTGTTCATTGATGTTTCCCCAGAACTTTATCAGTACCTCTCCTTCAGTGATAAGCACCCTGAAATGATCACATTTTTTCATGTGGCAATTTGGTTACTTTTTCTCCCATGAGACCAATATTCCAAGAGAGCAGGACAATATCTGATTTGCTCACCATTTTTTCACATAGAATTGTACTTGACTATATTTTAGGCGTATAGATCAAGCACAAATTGCAATGAGTCAGAATTATTAAATGGAAAGCATCATATATTTAATGACTGATAGATATAAGTTCTAGGACCACCACTAATTTTCCTTGGGTCATTAGAAATAGCCATTTAATCTTACAGTGTATTTTTTCATTTGTAAAACTAGGAAATTTCTACGTGTCGCCACCTCAGAGAGATGCTGCTAAGATCACGTGGTAGAGGCTATTTGTTTGCAAAAGGAAGGTGCGTTACACACACTAGTCCGGCCGTGACACCCAAGGCAGCTACCGTGGCACGTCCGCGTCACCCGTTATACAAGAGGCCCGCCCGTCCGGTGTCTTCTGAAATCCCTGACCCTACGTCACCGGCCACCGCCCAAAGGACGCCGTATAGTGTCCTGAGGATAGGCGGTGCCGGGTGGGGCCGGGGGACCAGCCCGAAGGAAGCTGCGGGCTGCAGGAAGCGTCACAGACACAACGGCTCCGGGGGATGAGGCCGGAAGCCCCACCCGACTTCGCCAGCAGCCTGCCCGCGCTAGGCCAGTTCGAAAGTGACCTTGTTTTGGCGTTGCTAGGAGACCAGGCTCCCGTACGCCCCCGACTGGCCGACGCGGGGCGAACGCGACTAGGGGGCGGGGCCGCCGCAGGCACGGGGAGCGGTCGGTGGAGCACCGTTAGAGCGGTCTGGCGCGCGGCGCCCGCCGCCTCCCGGGGAGCCGAGTCGTCCCTTGCCAACGCCCAGGCCTCGCCGGTGCTCGCCGGCAGGTATCACCCCGCTCCCCGGCGGCTGTGGCCCACGCTGGGTTAAGACGAGGCAAGGACGGTTAGTCAGGTGAGCCGCAGCGGGGCGGGTAGCTGGCGTGACTGCTCTTGCCGAGGAGAGAAGCCTTTCGGGTGTAGAGGGACCGGGTGAAGCTCTCGCATAGCGGGGATGGTGGGCCTGCCCCGGCGCAGCCGCAGTTCGGGTCATTCAGTGTGCCGGCCGACGCGGCCGCAGGTAGCACCCTCCGGCCAGCAAAGGGTTAACGCGCCAGCAGTGCCTGCGGGCCCCGGATGTGAGAGCCGCGGAGCAGGGTCCCTGGGCCGCGCTGCAGGTGCGCCCGGGCGGGCGGGGCGAGCGGCCTGCGGAGCTAGGACCCACTGGTTGAAGCTCTCTTTCTCCTGCAGAGGCCGCTCCGATCCCTCCGCAGGTGCCTTATTTTCCAACTTGAGGGCAACAGGTGGTCCTTGCAGACCCAGGGAGAGCCAGGTTTCGCCGCGCAGGGAGCGGCAGTTACTCTTACCAATTAGGGTGGGGGGCGGGCGCAGCGTGGCCTTCTGAAGCGGGTGACCAATCGGGTTTGGGCTCCGGGGTGGGCCGTGTGGAGTGGGCGTGGCCGGAGTCCGAATCTACGGCTTCTAGCGCAGCAACGCCAGAGCTGCGTGGAGAGTTAAGCTGAGCGGACTTGGGGTACGTTATCCCAGCATAAAGACGCCTACCAATGCTTTCTCATTTGGACCCAGACTCCAATTACGGAGGTGAGAGCATTGTGCCTTTTTATTTGGAGACGGGAAGGGTATAGTCACCTTGGGTATGCTGTTAAGCATGTGGAATTAGGTTCCCAAGATAGGATTTTGTGTTACAAATTTTCTGCCAAAAAAGGCACTCCTGTGGTTACCGCCACTTGGACCAGTTGCTGGTAATGAGGTTGTCTCCGGAATGAGGTCTTTGAGATTTGGAGACCCAGAGGAGTAAGGTACTCTTTCCTGCAGTTCCAGGGAATGTGAAAGAATTTCAATCACAGTGATTATTCTGTCGTTTTGTCTTGGATCGCGTACGTTTCATATTTCATTTGGTTTGTTTATTGAAGCAAGTTTTATTAAGCCCCTGGTGTTACTTATTTTCTCACAAAAAGGGGAAAACAGTTGTAGTACATTATTTCACAAGAATAACTTATCCATTTTCCCCTCAGCAGTCTTGTAGCGGGATCCCCTAGGAAGAGAAGTTCTAAAGCAGTCAGAAGAAAGCATTTCCATTTGGAAGATTTATTTGCAGGTGGAAATGGGGAATGGACTGTCAGACCAGACTTCTATCCTGTCCAGCCTGCCATCATTTCAGTCCTTTCACATTGTTATCCTGGGTTTGGACTGTGCTGGAAAGACAACTGTATTATACAGGCTGCAGTTCAATGAATTTGTAAATACTGTACCTACCAAAGGATTTAATACTGAAAAAATTAAGGTAACGTTGGGGAATTCTAAAACAGTTACTTTTCACTTCTGGGATGTAGGTGGTCAGGAGAAATTGAGGCCACTGTGGAAGTCATATACCAGATGCACAGATGGCATTGTGTTTGTTGTGGACTCTGTTGATGTTGAAAGGATGGAAGAAGCCAAAACTGAACTTCATAAAATAACTAGGATATCAGAAAATCAAGGAGTCCCTGTACTTATAGTTGCTAACAAACAAGACTTGAGGAACTCATTGTCTCTCTCAGAAATCGAGAAATTGTTGGCAATGGGTGAACTGAGCTCATCAACTCCATGGCATTTGCAGCCCACCTGTGCGATCATAGGAGATGGACTAAAGGAAGGACTTGAGAAACTACATGATATGATAATTAAAAGAAGAAAAATGTTGCGCCAACAGAAAAAGAAAAGATGAATGGTGACACCTTTTATATCTGTGTGGAGTAGGTTTTCTCTGGTCTGATTTTGACAAATGGAAGTGTCTACAGCCTGGTTTGCCTGCCTGCCCTCCTGGATGCTGTTTGTTTTGTTGAACAATCAGATGCCCAATTCTTTTGCCTTGTGGAAGATGAGTGAATGCTTCTTAAAGTGGTCTCTTCTCCCTACCCCACAAATCTTGGTACTAACATTTTGGGAAGCCAAGCAAGAATAGTAAATTGACAAGAAACCAGTTGTGGAAATTTGAACCTGAAGTTAGTGAAATAAAACTTTTTGAGGAGTGTCTGCCTAATGTTTTGTGCTTGTATCTTTTTGGGAGAAGCCTTTGCCAAGGATATTGCATACAAGGCTTTGTATGCTAAGAGAAAATAAAATGAATGGAAATACTAAGGTAGATTAACATACATACAATTATATTGATCACATTGGTCCAACAAGTAAGGGACAAGGAGGAAGTGTTTTTAAGTTTGACCAAATGAATTTTGACATTTTGTGGAATCATATTGTAATGCTATCTATATCTTAATTCTAGACAATGTTTAAGTTGGTCTTTCTTAAAATAAGGTATTTGGGGCATATTCAAGTGCATGGAATATTTTTCTCAACAAAGCATGTTTTGGTGTATAGTCTTTTCAGAAATAGCTATACATTCTTTCTACACAATCAGGTTTAAAACACTTGGGATTTAGGGCTGTTATTGTTTGTTGGAAGCACTTTGGAAGAACAACATAACTCCTATATAGTAGTACCTTTGGGTATGTAGATTAATCATAAATGCACATGCTGGGATTTATGTATGGATTTATGAAGAAAACAATTCAGTCAAGAGGATGTAACTGCAATATATGGTCTCTAAAGTATTCCAGTTATAAAATACTTGTTTTATTAATATTTGCTGGCTGAACACAGACGTGGTTTCATATAATTGTGTAGTGTTTTGGGAAGAGCAAAGGCTTTATAAACAACACCTGAAGCACTGTGGAGTGAAAATGTACGAGATAACCCTGTATGTACTCTGAGCTTTAACTTTTTGTTTACAAACTAAACAGTGTTATACAGCCAATCCAGTTCTGATTATAAGATGATAAGAAATGGTACAGTACTACAGATAAGAATTCCAATTACAGAAAATGTAGGGGAAAGTAGCAAAGCTATGTTTCGTGAAAATTCACTTGGTGCTGTTTAACACTGGAATTTTTAAAAACCCTTAGGAGGAAAAACCATCTAATTCTTATCTATAGGCAAAGACTTACTTCCAGAGATCATATATTAGCAAATAAAATGTCTGTCTGTAAAGCAAATAGCTATTCTGAAGATAACCAAAAGAAATGCACTTTGGTAGCCGGGTTTTGTTTTTGTTTTTGTTTCTTTTAATGGCACCGCTGAGTTTTTGGAAACTTGATTCTTGTTACACACAAAATGAAGTAGCTTCCTGTGGAGCTTTCATATGTTAAATATACCTGCACTAGTGACAGTCACTTAGAATGTTTATATTTATAGAAATGTGGATAATAATTATCAATAAACTACTTGAGGCACTAGGAGAACAGTGTTTGAGTTTTAATGTATTTCCACTTTGGCTGAAGCTTTTAATTAGGTGAGTGATGATAACTTTGACAGCTGGGTTACATAGTTGTATAGTAGTATGGTTCTGTTTAAGTGTGACAGACACCAAAGACTGTTTTCTTGGAGAGTTTATATTTGCCCTTCACTATATGAAATCATGGTCTATAGTCCAAACATTACTAGATTCATGGTGGATTAATAAACCTTGCTGAAAAATAAATCTGTGAATCAATTTAGATTGTCAGCCCTCCTGTAATCTTTACATACTTGCTGTATAAAATAGTACTGTTTTAATTATTGAAAGTTGAAGTGTCTTGACCTTTATTTTTTAGCTTGAGAATTGGGGGAGCAAATCCATGTTATCTAGAGCATTTCATATTTAGTGAAGAACAACAAAAAACGAAATGGCATGAACACTGTACTAGCTTTTATTTATAAAATAGGCTTTCAACTACAAAACTCACAAGATTTTCCAGTTTGCTAAATGCAGATTTCCAATCCCCTATTCTAACTTGAAATACCGGTAGTAGGATAATGAGTCTCAAAGTAAACCCTGAAGAGTTTAGACAGTACTTTTGTATCTAGTTTTATTAAGGTACACTTTATCTAAAGTATATTTCTAAGGTATTTTCTTACAGTTGAAGTTAATTTGGTTTAATGCCAAATATTAATCAAGGACAACTCTAATTTCAAATTACTATCAAAGAACAAACTTTAAAAAAGTTTTGATATTTAGAGACTTAAATGGATTATAAACATTTAGGAGAAAGTGTTGTATACTTCAGCAAGCATAGGTTCACTAAGAATTAATCATGGAAAAATGAATAATCATCGAAAATAAAAAAAGTAACTAGTACAAATATATGTAGGTAGAAAGATATGGATGTAGAAAGGTAATAGTCTGAGAAGAATAATGGTTTCTGAACAGAGGGAAAGCATAGACTTGGAATGTTTTTGTTTATACAAGGCTCGGGATGCTTAAAGAGTGTTGGGTTAGTTGCTCATGTTGACTTGGAAAGAGGTCTTTTGTAGAGTGTTTCAAGGTTCTATTTAATACAACAATTTCATCAGTAATATAAACAATGGTTTTATCAGTGATAATGAAGACACAAAACATGTTTCTTTAAACTTTCCATGATGTAACACTTGACATTTAGCTAACACAACTTAGAATCTTGAATACAATCATTTGAGGTTGGAATTTTACATTTAAGGTTTGAATTTATCAGAACATTCTGTAAATGGATTGTGGGATGCTTGTGTAACATTGTGAGTATGCTTAGTGCCACTGACTCACACATCTAAAAATAGTTAAAAATAGTAAATTTTGTATTTTAACACAATAAAAACTTTAGCAAAATATTAAATGTATGCTTAGTTAACAAAGAATCAGCTAAGAGTAGAGTGGGGGCAAACTGATATAGAGACCATATTTAAATACAAATTTTATGGAAGACTGAGGTGTTTAAAGCTCAATATGAGCCAGGATAGCATGCTAAGTAATCATAAACTTGACATGAAAACATATGACAATCAGAGATAATCTCAAGCCACAGCTGAAGTATGTGTCACTCTGCATATAAGTTAGAAATGTAGGAATACCTATAAGGGAGGCTAGTTTTAGGAAGATTTTATGTGTACTAGCTAAAAACAAAGAGTTTTGGAGTCCAGTTAGTTTTCAAATTCTGACTCTCCTGCTATTAACACTTGTGACCTCTTGGCAAGTTCTTGAAACTTAAGATGTGAATGCCATGCCCTCCTGGGAAACGAAAACTGTCACATAGAATTTGGAGAGGATTGAATGAAGTAATGTAAACTATTTAGCACATCACCAAGCATTTGATAGGAACTCAAATAGTAGTCATTATTATTAACCACATGAACATGTGTTGAGAGACAGTGTGGCATAGTTGATAATCGCCATGCGAGTTAAGATTTGAACCCTTAATCTGCCACTTACTAGTTTTATCTTGGACAATTTATTTAAATACTGTCAGCCTTAGTTTCTTCACTTTCAGTTTTGAATCATGTTTTTAATGTCTTCTGCTTATGTTTTGCTGGAGTTGAGATTATAATCCATATTAGGCACTGGGTTATAAACATGTTGAGTAGAAAAGTGTGGGTTATTAGTCACAATAAACCCTTTTTTTACTGGGCCCTCTCTTTCCTGGCTCTGCAATAAGGAGAAAGTGAAAGCAAGTGCCAAAACAGAAGTGTTACCTGAGCATCGGCCCTCATCCCTTCCTTTCCTAATGGAAGACTAACTCAGGAAATGGAGCTCATATACACATTGCATTAGTAGTTCTAAATGATCGGTTGGAACTGGTATTGGTTAACACAATGGTTCACAAAGTGTGGTCTATGGATCAGAAGCATCAGCATTACCAAGGAACTTGCTAGAAATGCAAATTCTCAGGCTGTACTCCAGACCTACAAATATGGAAGTTTGGGACTACCCTCACAAGCCTTCTAGTGGTTCTGATATTCATTAAAGTTAACCATTGAGTTAACAGAAAATCCAGTCATTTATCATGCTAAAAAATAAAAATAATTGAACTAAGATAAATCATTTCAATACTATAAAATTCAGGCCTTTTTGAAAAGTGCTTTTTCAAAAGCACGGTTCTCTCTACAGTACGCATCCAGTAAAACCTTGCTGAATGAATTTTTCTTGACAATAGCAGAAACTATCTTCTAAGTGTCATATCTTATAAATTAATTTCTATGCATACATATACACAAAAGAGAGCTTTGCTTGTGAATTATGTTAAGTATTGTAATGTGTAGTATTCTAAAATTGGGTGGTTGAAGAGAGATTGAAGTTGATTCGTTTCAGTGATACTCTAGCTTTAAATAAAAATCTTAGCCTTTTATTATGACAAATTTCAGACTTTCATAAAAGTAGAATAGCATAATGAACACCGAAGTCTCTCTTCTAGTTTCAGTTATTATCTAATCAAAGCCAATCCCATTTCCTATATTCTCGTACGTTTTCTTCTCTTCCACCTTTCCTGTCCCCGAACCCTTATATTATTTTGAAGTGAGTTATAAAAATCACATTTTATTTATAGATATTTCGGTCTGTGTCTGTAAGAGATAAGCAGTTTTAAAAAACAATCTCAATGTCATCACATGTATGAAAAGAAATCAATACTTCAAAATAATCTAATATCCATTCAGTGTTTAGATTTCCCCAATTACTTTTAAGTTTTTTAGAATCAAGATTAACCAATAACAATCCACACATTGTGATTGATATGTGTGGTTGACATATGTCTCCAGAGGTTTCCCTTTTCCTCTGCATCCCATCTTCTCCCCAATCTCTCTGCCTTCCTCTCCTTCCTGTGCCTTTCCCCACCTTCCCCAAGCCTTCTCTCTCTCTGCTACTGAATTTGTTTTTGTACAGTTTCCCACACTCTGGGTCTTGTTGAATACATTTCCCTTGTGGTGCTTCACATGTTTCTTTGTACTCTCAAATTTATTTTTTTTCCCAAGGCTACTTCAGAGGTGGTAATGTCCTATAGTTCTATCCATCAGTACTAGATCTGGTTGTCTCTCTCTTTTGGATGTTACCAGCCATTGATGGTCATTGTCTTAATTAATGACATCTAATAAAACTGTCTGTGGTGATGGAAACATGCTATATCTACACTGTCCAATTTTGTAGCCATTAGCCATGTGTAGTTATTGAGCCATCAAATGTGGCTGGTGTGACTAAGGAACGGATGTGGCTACTGCATTGGACAGGGCTAACTAGATTCATTAATTCATTAAGAGCTGTAAAGTGGTGACATTTTATATTCTATTGTCTTCATTTGTAAGCTAGGGTTTTTCTATAATAAGAAACCCTCACCAATGATTTGGTTATTCTGAGTTTCAGTTCTTAAGGAAAGGCAAGATAAATGCTTCTCTTAATTTGTAAACTCTCAGAATGAGTTGATTCCTTAGAATCCTCCAAAGGTGACCAGTGAGGTTTGAGTGTCATTATAACCTTATACATTTAAACATAGTTGACATATTTCTATTCTTTGCAGTTTCTTATCCCCATTTATGCTCAAATTGTCCCATCTTTAGAGAACGAGGTCCTTTTAACATCACCCTGGTAATCTTTGATAGTTTCTTTGCTTTCTGGCTTGACAATAAATTCCTGCCTTACCTTGCATTTCTTTCCCAGACCTGTAGTTTTTCTAGGAGCCCAGGTTCCTTGTGATGGAAAATTATATGTGGAGTCCACACTTGTAGAGTACTGGATTTTTCATTATTTCTAGGCCCTTTCAGTGGATAAAACTAGGATTTTTTTTAAAAGATACATGATTAGTATACACTTGGTATTTCCAATTCAAAGCTTAAAATCTATCAGAATGGTAGTTTTTTTTTTTTACATAACCTTAGTGATGTTACTATTACCTCTTTTCACCTATGCCAAAAATCCTAATTGTCAACCACACACACTTAACTCTTTCACTTTATTCTACTCTAATCCTAATCTCACTCCAATTTCAAAATGGTGCACTACACACCACAGTATGATTACTGTAAATTGTTTAACAATAGTTGCAGTTTCTTTTCTCTTTAATTTATACCACACTAGGATATACAAAGTTCCTGTGTGTGTGTGTGTGTGTGTTTTAATGTGTGATTATGCACTGACTAGTATGTGTTTAGGAACATTAATTCCATAAATCTTTTACTTTATGGAAATGTTGAGTGGTTTATTTAATACATGCAATTCTTCCAATATATTTAAAATATTCAACTTGGAATTAAAAACATTTACACACCATAATTTAAGTCTTACTTTTATAAACTGAGCAGCATGAATATTTTCCACAGTCAAGGAGAATTTTTTTCACTTTTAATTTGAGACCCAAACTAGTGGTAGAATTGTTTCATGAAAATTTAAGTTCATGTAGTTTGCATTGGGAGACATCTGATATAAAACAGGCTCTGATTGAAAAAGTACTCTTGCCTTCCTGTTGCAGATCTGTGTAATGTCCACAAAAATAGGAATAGTCATTTGTTTTCTTGCTTTTTCAAGTGATTAGAAACCATGGGCATCCAGTGAACCAATGTATTTTTTTTATTAAAGTCTCATTGATATGCAATCTTATGATGGTTTCACATACACAACACAGTGGTTCAACATTCACCAATATAATCAAGACCTCACTACCTCCATTACGGTCACTGTCTATCAACATAGTAAGATGTTATAGAGTCATTAATTGTCTTCTCCATGCTTTACTACCATCCCAGTGACTTACCTATATTGTGATTGCAAATTATAGTGCCCCTTAATCCCC